CAAACATTACTCTCTGGGGGAGACCCAGCCCTGGGGCCCACACACAGCAGTGGGAAAGCTGGCACTGCTGTCAATGAGGCCCCAGGGCTCTTTCCATAAGGCTGCTAAATGCCCTGGGCTCAGAAACCAAGTGCAGAAGGAAAAGCAAGTGAGACCATGATGAGACATGAAGCTCTACCCATTTCCCTGAACTCCTGCACCCCCAAGCAGAGCCCAGCCTGCCGCAAACCATCCAGGGGCTTCCCTGAGTTGGGACCTAGCATGGCCCAGTGGGGCCTGGTGAGACCCCAACCCCATCTCCAGCCTCACCCTCCGCCACCTCCCTTTAATTCTCCGACAGCCACCTCCCCTGTCTTGGGACCTTTGCACGTCTGCGCTTCCTGCCAGAAACCTTTCTCTCCTGCCCGCTTTGTCTAGTTAACCCCCACTCCAAACTTCAGGGCAGCACCATGCAGGGGAGCTTTCTGCGATGGCGGACGTGTTCTCTATCTGCACTGTCCATCGCAGCAGCCATTGGCCACACGGGGCTACTGGACACTCCAGGTGTGGCTAGTGCGACTGAGAAATGGAATTTTTAATTTTGTTTAATTCTAATAGCTAAGTTTAAAGCGCTGCCTATTGGGCCGGCCGAGTGGCTCATTGGTTGGGAGTTGGCTTGGGAGCGCGAGATCTGAGCAACAGGACCGCTGGTTCGGATCCCACATGGGCCAGTGGTGCTGCGCCCTCTACAGCTAAGATGGTGAACAACAGCTCAACCTGGAGCTGGGCTACTGTGAGTGACCAGCAGACAGCATGAGCGGCCGGCAGCCGGTGTGAGCTGCCGTGAGCGGCCATCCCATGGCCGCCGACCGGTCTGCCTCAGCCGGGAAAAGTGCAATGATCGCAATGCCAACATGGGCCAGTGGGGTGCTGTCCTCCACGGCTGGACTGAGGAACAAGAGGGACAGCGGCTTGTCTGTTCCCCTTCCCTGATTTCCCAATAAAATCTTTAAAAAAATTTTTTAAGTTAAAAAAAATAAATATATAATAAAGTGCTGCCTGTGGCTAGTAGCTACTGGGTTGGACAGTGCGGCTTTAAGGCCCAGCTATTCAAAGTGTGTTTTGGGGACCAGCGGCATCAGCGCTTCCTGGAGCTTGTTTGAGCTGCACACTCTCAGGCTGTATGTTGACAAACCCCCCAGGTGATATGTGGGCGCACCATCCAGATCTCAGCTCCAGTGTCCCTTCCCAGACACCTCCCCGTGCTCCCGCTGCCCTCCCTGTGCCAGGCCCCTGTTCTGTGCTCTGACACAGCTCCCTGTGTTAAGGCCTCTGGCATCTCTTGGCTGTGTGACATGACTTCCAGCAAGGATCTCAGGCTGGAATACCTTCCTGGCATCCATCACTGCCCATAATTACACACAGGTGTGATTATGTGGTCTCCTGCTCCATGACAGGAGACGCCATCTGCCTCATCCCCCCCAGGGCCCAGCCTAGCACCTGCCCCTGGAAGGAGGCCCAGAAACAGCCCCTGAACGGGTTCTCTCATGAGGCTCGTGAAGGGTGGGGCAGCCAGGTTGCCCCATGCTGACCAGACCAGACCAGACAAGCTGGCAAGCAGCCTGCAGCCCACCCCTCGGCCTCCACCTGCCTCCCCAGAAGCAGCAGCCCCCAGATGTCTGAGTCTCTGGACCTCAGCTTCTCCCCTGCTCTGAGGCTGATGGCCAGGGCTAGCCACCTTCCAGTGAGGGGGTCGCCTGCCCCCCAGCACGCCACAGGAACTCTGGAGTAAAGAGGCTGGCCCATGTGAGTCGCCGGCGATGGCGTAGGCTGCAGCCCCTGCTGCAGTGGGTTGCCATGGGCTACTGTGTGTAGCCAGCAGCCAGCGTGAGCGGCCAGCAGCCGCAGTGA